ATATCCAAACGACTCTTCGCGACCACCCAAACCCAGCTTCCCGCCCTATGACGTTGGGACACTTCACTTCGTGGCGTGCGGACGACCGTGGCTACTACACTGGCGTGGGGTACACACCCACAGAACTTGGTCACTTATTCGGGGCGCGCGTGTGCCCAGCATCCTGCAATTGTGACATACAATACATGACACAGACAGACAGAGAGAGAGACAGAGAGCAGACAGAGAGAGAGACAGAGAGAGCGGAGTTGGTCACATTTTTGGGGCAAGTTCCTGAGATCGTCGTGTTTTTTGTTGGTCTTGCGCGCGCGAATGTCCACTTTACTTTTTTTTTGCAAGGGAGTATTGAAATTTGATTATGTTAGAACAAGAAAAAGTAGCTCGCGCGAGCTCATGTAACATAAATGTTGAAAAACCATTGGTTTTGTGGGAGTCGGACAGCGCGCGCGGGATGAAATTTGGACATTTTTTTTTGAAAAACCATTGGGTTTTTGATGTTTTTATGTTGAAATCGCTACGAAACCTAAGGTTCTGGAAGGATTTCGTCTTGCGCGCGCGAATGTCCACTTTACCTTATTTTTTGCAAGGGATTATTGAAATTTGATTATGTTAGAACAAGAAAAAGTAGCTCGCGCGAGCTCATGTAACATAAATGTTGAAAAACCATTGGTTTTGTGGGATTCGGACAGCGCGCGCGGAAGGACATTTTGACAATTTTTTCTTAAAAAACCATTGGGTTTTTGATGTTTTTATGTTAAAATCGTTACGAAACCTAAGGTTTTGGAAGGATTTCGTCTTGCGCGCACGAATGTCCACTTTACCTTATTTTTTGCAAGGGATTCTTGCAATTTGATCAAGTAAGAACAAGAATTTTCATTTTATAGTGTTTTTTGCAAGGGAAAACGGAGTACAACAAAACAACCGGATCCGGTAATAATTCACTTTTCTGAAGCTTTCGCTAAAAAATGATGAAAATGTAGCTGCGGCCTAGGTTTTGGAGGGGGGTCGCGCACCAGGGGTCCCAACAATAATTATTCTTTAGAAGTAATAATGTTCAACAGCAGCAACAACAGCAACAACAACAACAGCAGCAGCAACAACAACAACAAACAAGAAAAGAAGCTCGTTCTACTCCCGCCGGCTTCCGCCAGCCCCCCGCCGAGGGCGAGGCCCCTGCCGCCCCAGCGGCGCGGGCGCTCTCGCGAGCAGCCGCCGGCACTGCTCCGCCCCTCCTCGGGGACACACTGCGTGACCCGGCTCAGCATTATTAAGTCGGGCGTGTCCCTCTACAGGAGGCGTATTCAAAAATTGTCTAAAAGTAGTCCGGGGACAATTGTTCGATGTTTGCTTTTCTCTTTTTGAATATTCTTTGACTGTTTCACGATGTTCGCCCAAAACCCGCCTGTAGGGGGAAATGCCCGACGTAAGGTCAGCACCGCGCCAGGTCGGCCAGGGCCCTGTCGCGAAGACCGGCCATGCCGCCCGGTAGCTCCCAAGCCCGGGGCCAGCGGAGGGCGGAAAGCCCGTTCCCGGCCCCCCCCCCGAGTCACGAGAGAATCACGGCAGGAGGTTTCTCGCGGTCTTCGGCCTGCGGATGCCCTGTCCTGGGCCCCGGGGCAATCCAAAAACGGCTCGGGATGAAAAAGCTGGTCCCGAGGAGTGGGTCAAGACCAAGACCTCTGGAGGTCGACGTCACGAAAAACTCATGACGTCGAGGGTCTGGGAGGGGGAATCGGCCCCACGTGGCTCCAAAACCCAGGTCGGCCTGAGGGGGTTGGCTGGCCCCCATTAGCGCCGACCCCCATTACTTGAGCCCCTAATCCCACCCGCCAGCCACAGCCAGGGGAGCTGTGCTCTTTATCGCATCGGCAATATCTGTAAAGTGGGGCACCAAGGCGGACGGACCCCCAGCCCTTGGGGGTCGGTCGGTCACTCCGAAGGGTGCGGCTCGTAAAGGGTGTGGTGTGCAACCCGAGCCCGGAGCGGCGGGCGAGGGGGCCTCGACAGAGATCTCTGCCGCGCCCCGACGAGGGCTCACCGAACCGTTCTGGCGCAACGCGGCGACCCTAGAGCCCCAACGGCGCAAATGGCGAACCCAAGCCTCCGCCCCCTTCCACCCGACACACCCTGGCGGCCACGGCCCTATAGTGGCACCGTCCTCGGCGCCCTGGATCTCCTCGCGCAGCGCGGTCGTCACCTCCTCGCGCAGGGCGGCCGCCATCTCCTCGAGCGCCTCGCGCACGGCGGCGACGACGGCGACGGCGGCGACGGCGGCGACGGCGACGCCATGGACGGCGACGGCGACGGCGAGGGCGACGACGACGACGACGACGGCGACGGCGATGGCGACGGCGATGGCGGCGGCGGCGAGGTCGGCGGCGAGGATGTTTTCAACAGCTTTCGGCGGCTTGGGAGCCTCTCGGAAGTCTTCGCACGCTTGCCGAGACTTTCGGAGGGTCTTGGAGTGTCCCTGGAGGCTCCCGGATGCTGCCCCGCGGAGGCTCCCGAGGAGGAGCGGGAGCAGGAGCTGGCAGGCGGGCCCCAACGATCCACCAGCCCCTGTCTCGGCCAAGTCCACCCTGGGCCCAGGATCGGCGGAGCGCCCCCCCCAAAGACCTCCAACGTGGTGGCTCGCTCGCGGCGTGGGGCCTGGACCTCTCGACCCCATCCCTGGGGCAGGGTGTCGTCATCGGCTTCTTCTTCGACGGCCCCAGACCCCGCGGTGGGTGAGCATGGTCTTCAAAAAAGACGCAGGGAGTCTGGTCTCCCCTGACCTCCGACGACCCGACTTTACTCGAGCCGTCGCCCCTTGGAGCCCTCGACCCCGTCCCCAGGACCGGCTCTTCATCCTGAGTCGCCTTCTGGCGGCCCCGGGCCCAACAGACGCCCCCCCCCCGGCGCCGACAGTGGCGAAAACTTGTGGCGCGACTCTGCCGAGTCGTCCAAAGATCTGCGAGAGCGTGATCCACCGCCGCTTTACTGTGGAAAATTCCCCCCCCCCTCTTCCTCCGGAGCCCAGGGACCCCCCCCCTTTTGAAAATCCATCCCCCTGCTGGACCCCCCCCCCTTCCTCCAGCACCCCCCCCTGACCCCTCCCCCCCACCCACCCCCCTCCATAAAACCGGGAGGGGTCACTACCGTTCGAGCCCCCCCCTCCAGAAAACGAAAAGGGGGGTCACTACCCGGTTCGAACCCCCCCCCCCGCCGCCGGCAAACGATACCGCCTCCTCGGGACAGTGGGACAGCGGAAAAACCGGGGGGTTTCAGTACTGGTTCGACCACCCCCCCCTCCCCCTCCGGAAAACCGGGGGGGGTCACTACGGTTCGAACCCCCCCTCCCAACCCCCCCTCTGGAAAACGGAGGGGGTCACCACCGGTTCGAGCCCCCCCCCACCCCCCGCCTCTCCGCCAGCAAACGACTCCCAGATCCCCACCACCGTCCGCACCACATCCCCCACCGCTGTACCCAGCACCACCGTCCACACCACCCCTGTCCCCACTTTTCCCACCACCGTCCCCGACTGTCCCCACCAGTGCCCCCATCACTGTCGCACTGTCCTCACTGTCCCCACCACTGTTCCCACCACGGTCCCACTCTCACCACTTTCCCCACGGTCCCCACCACTGTCCCACTGTCCCCACTGTCCCACCGTTCCCGCCGCTGTCCCACTGAGCTGTTCCACTGTTCCCACCACTGTCCCCACCACTGTCCCAAGTGTACCCCTGTCCCACTGTCCCACCACCGTCCTCACCACCGCCCTCACCGCTGTCCCGCTGTCCCCACCACCACCGTCCCCACCACAGTCCCACTGTCCCCACTACTGTCCCACTGTCCCCACACCACTGTCCCCACCACCACCGTCCCCACCACTGTCCCACTGTCCCCACCACTGTCCCACTGTCCCCACCAGTCCCAGTGTCCCCAGTGTTCCCACCATTGTCCCAGCTGTCCCCACCAGAGCCTCAGTGTTTCAAGTGTTCTCACAAGTGTTTCAAGTGTTCCCACCATTGTCCCCACCAGTGTCTCAGTGTTTCAAGTGTCCCCACCATTGTCCCGCCACGGTCCCACTCTCCCAATTGTCCAATTGTCCCCACTGTCCCCACCACTGTCCCACTGTCCCCACTGTCCCCGCCGCTGTCCCACTGTGCTGTCCCTCTGTGCCCCACCACTGTCCCACTGTCCCCACTGTCCCCACCACTCGCCCCACTGTACCACTGTCCCACCACCGTCCTCACCACCGCCTTCACCACTGTCCCCACCACTACTGTCCCCACCACTGTCCCACTGTCCCCACTGTCCCCACCACTGTCCCGCTGTCCCCTCACCACGTCCCCACCACCACCGTCCCCACCACTGTCCCACTGTCTCCGCTACTGTCCCACTGTCCCCACACCACTGTCCCCACCACCACCTTCCCCACCACTGTCCCAGTGTCCCCACCACTGTCCCACTGTCCCGAGGAGCGAGAATCGTTTGCCGGCGGCGAGGGGGGGGGGTCGAACTGGTAGTGACCCCCCCCCTTTTCATGATGGACGGGGGGGGGGAGGGAAGGGTTCGAACCGGTAGTAACCCCCTCGGTTTTCGAAGGGGGGGGGACGGGTTGGGAACCCCCAGTGACCCCCCCCCGGTTTTCCGCCAGCAGCGGTAGAACACGCTCCTTCAAAGATCTGGGTCGTGGCCTGGCCAGGGAGGCCTGACACACCTGTCCCCGGCCCAGAGTCGGCCTGGCCAAGAGCGGCGTTTCCGATCACGGGCGTCATCGAGGGAACCCAGCGCCAGGGCGCGGCACCGCCATTCCTCCCTCGTCAAGTCAAGCTGTTGCTGCTGCTCCTCCTCCTCTTCCTGCTCCTCCTGCTCCATTCCTTTCCCTGATAAATACCTCCTCCCTGCCAGACCCCGAGAAAAGTCGGTAGGGCGGGCCGGGCGTTTGGCCTGAGACCCCCTCACCATCGATGATCCTGAGGCTTAAACTTGCAACATATTCACGGATGGGCAACAG